TGCACCCTTCGGGTTGGGGAGGAAGTCCTGCCTCAGGTGGAGGAGTTCAAATATCTGGGGGTCTTGTTCACGAGTGAGGGTAGGATGGAGCGTGAGATTGACAGGCGGATTGGTGCAGTAATGCGGTCGCTGTATCGGTCCGTTGTGGTGAAGAAGGAGCTGAGCCGAAAGGCAAAGCTCTCCAATTAACGGTCGATCTACGTTCCTACCCTCACCTATGGTCATGAGCTCTGGGTCATGACCGAAAGAACGAGATCCCGGATACAAGCGGCTGAAATGAGCTTTCTCCGCAGGGTGGCAGAGCGCTCCCTTAGAGATAGGGTGAGGAGCTCTGTCACACGGGAGGAGCTCGAAGTAGAGCCGCTGCTCCTCCACATCGAGAGGAGTCATCTGAGGTGGCTTGGGCATTTACATCGCATGCCCCCCGGACGCCTCCCTCGGGTGCTCGGGTCCTGTCCCTCTGGGAGGAGACCTAGGGGAAGACCTAGGACACGCTGGAGCGACTACGTCGCGCGGCTGGCCTGGGAGCTGGAGGAAGTGTCAAGGGGGAGAGGGAAATCTGGGTGTCTCTGCTCAGACTGTTGCCCCCGCGACCCGGCCCCGGATAAGCGGTTGATGATGGATGGATATTTGCTTACGTGAAAAAAAGATTAAGACCATAAACTCGTCTGTAAACTGTTATTCGGGAATAATACACAGTTAGAAGTTGTTTATTTTTTTTTGTATAAACCTGAACCTTTGTTGCTCCACGCAGCTGTTTACAGGAAGACAGTGTTCTCTCCAACGAGTCATTAATGTGTGACAAGAAACATAACGACCAACAATTAACTAATTAACTAATAAAAAGTATTTTAAATGTAAAACTCACCATGCTAAAAACATTTGGCACGTGACACGTACCTTATTAAGGACTGATAAATGCAACTTACTTTTAATTTGAACGCCAAAGGCTTGTTTTCCGTGTCAAGTAGGAAGCTTTAGCCCTTTTTTAACCAAAATACTTTTATTTTGAAAAATAGTACTATTAGCACTAATGCTAAGGCGAATGTTTAAAAAACACTTTTTAAAAGGGTTTTGAGATTATCCTTTTTGAGAGGAATAGTAGAAACAAATTATAAAATTAAGAGTTTAAAATGAACAAACTAATAATCATTGTTTCCTCTAATTACAGTAAAACCAAGTTTTTTATAACTTGTTTGAATGAACACTGTCATTTTTTAATAACCTAATTGAGGCATCTCTTCTGTGCTGCAGAAGAAAATTAAACCGTCAGTGCCTCTTCTAGCTGTTATCCTCCTGCGGTTCTCTGGAGGAAAGTGAACAGTCAGAGATGTAAGAATAAACAGATTATTCTTGCTTATTGAAGATGTGAAGTTGGCTGGTCTTTTATGCGTTCCTGCAGAGGCCCCTGCTCATGTGGACAATACATCTGACGTTACATTTAATCACCTCAAGAGGGAGTTCAAACAAAGTGAAAACAACAGTGATGATTAGTTCATGTATTGTTGGACAGTCATAGCACCACATATAAAACGTACAAAATGTATAAATGCAAATTTCAAGTAGTTTTTCAAACCAAAACATGCAAACAATATTTATTCATAGATAAAATATGCAGTAATTTCCCTGACATAACCAGCATTTTCTTCCATCCATCCATTTTCATCCGCTACCGGGTCACGGGGGCAGCAGTCTCTATGACCGCCACCCAAATCACACTGCACCATACCAACCCCCCTGAACCTTCCTGTGGGTGGTAGGTCCACTGGAAGGTACCAACTGCCCTAACCGGGATACGATCTTGCCCAGGTGAACCCTTGGGTTCCACAACAATGACAGAGACATTGCCTCTGGGCTAAAGCACCACCGGTGTTTTCTTATTCAAAGAAAAAAATTCAACTCTGTTGTGATTGATCCAGAGTTGAGTATTTTTCTTTCTGTATACATTTAAGTACTCGGCTAAAATATTTTACTTGCTTATATGACACGTACGGACACAAATATAATAAGTAGCAATATGTAGTTAAAAACAATGTCAGACTCCTTTAGCCATGTTCAAATCTGCAGAACCAGCATTATCTGATCACAGCACATTATCAAAATGTGAAGCTTAACACTGAACCCTGCCAAAAAGTTGACACAAGACACTGTAGCAGGTGGTTGAAACATTTTCATCCATTTTTTTTCTCCTTTTAAGAATCACTATTCATGTGCATTTCAAAAGGATACAGTACATTGTTAGGGATAAAAGCACCATGTCACATTACCTAATTTGCCATTCAAAACAAACTAATCTTTGTAAAAACTTGTATCTTAGTAAAATATTGTAACTCAAAGTAAATAACCACAAACCAAGTCTTTTTTTTTAATAAAAAATGGTTTAACGTTATTTTCTTTAGTATTAAAACATTAGAGTCCCAGGCCAATCAAACAATTTCACTGTCACAACTTTGTGATATTCATTAACTCCCCAGTCAAACATTCTACAATGAAATATAAAGGTTTTTTAGAGAGATTTTAAAGATTTACTGAACTGTTCTAGTTATGGTAAAATATAACACAAAAGCCTAACAATCACTCTTCATTTGCTATAATATTAAAAAAAAAAAGTGAACCCCGGTCCAAACAAAATCCCAGCCCCAAATCTTATGGTCAAAATGGCATCTATGCAGTCTTCTGCTGGCCCTTCTTCCCAATAAGGGATTTGTGGATGTGGGGAATGACACCTGAAATGACAAGAGAACATGTGAGTACAACAGTTTTTTCTAAATCGTAGTAAAGTACTACTAATAAAATAGATGGAAAAATAAAGGCTGTGCTTACCTCCTCCTGCAATTGTGGCTTTGATAAGGGAGTCCAACTCTTCATCCCCACGGATGGCCAGCTGCAAGTGACGGGGAGTGATACGTTTCACCTTCAAGTCTTTGGAGGCATTGCCTGCCAACTCTAGTACCTAAGGGAACAGATCAGCACACACACAAAACAAGTAAAAATGGTGCCAACTAAAACTTTTGATATCTTAATGGTGACAAAATAAATATAAAAAAAGTACATATTTAATCTAACAACGAACATTCAATTCAAGCATATCAAGACAAATGCAAACAAAAGAAATGCAAAGACTAACTTCAGCAGTGAGGTACTCGAGGATGGCTGCACTGTACACTGCCGCTGTGGCTCCGACACGACCATGGCTGGTTGTGCGGGTTTTCAAGTGCCTGTGGATACGACCCACTGGAAACTGGCAGGAGACCAACGAATGAAAGCGTGACAACAGTAGAAACTCTGTTATCGATTATCACAATACAAATACATTCAACCGAGCCACAAATGGCAAAATAGTTGAGAAATAACTTACCTGCAGTCCGGCTCTTTGGGAGCGCGACACTGCCTTTGCCTTGGCTTTACCACTGTCTTTCCCTGCCTTGCCTCCTGCCTGTAACCAAAGGAAAGTCATGGTGTTAATTAAGGAAAACATTGACCCCTAAATGTCAAGCAGTGGGGCAGAGAAAATGACAGGTCAGGGAATTAGACTGATACTCCCTCATGTTGAATTCACTGACAGTCATTTTCAGCAAGAAAAATGGGCAACACACGCCTAAAATTAATACTCAGTATCACAACTTTGTTGAGATAAAGAGACCATTATTAAATTCAATTGATGTTTACATGAATTGTTGTTCCCGTTTTCCCGTCAATGCAAATAAAAATAAAACAGCTAAATGGCGGCACCGACGGCAGTTACCGGAAATCACAGGTATAAAAAATAACTGTGAAAGTATAAAGTTTGATACAAAATACCGCTTCGTTCTGATATAAAAACACACACACACACCGGAGCGGTGTGTGGCGGCGCGGCAAACCGACGACAGAGCCGCGGTTTTAATAAGCTTGCCTTCAGCTTCGCATTCTCTAGTTTCAGCAGAAACACTTTAGCGCACAGAGCCACAAAGGCTAAAAGAAATCACAAATACGAATAAGGACTACTTTCATTTAATAAAACATTTTGAAATACACACAAATCAACTAGTAGGGTGGCGACATCGCTATAGTTCGCCTGCTAACGGCTGCTAATCCATCCGTTGAGAAGCTGTTTGGTTAAATGCATGCTTAATTGTGCAAGTCCTATTGTGGTAATAGTGTAGCTTATTGTAAAGCAAAATGTACAAGTTTTGTACACGTTACATGACTAAAACAAGTAAGCAGCTAAACACAGACTTCAGATAGTAATGATATCGTGTTAAAAACCACACAGCCTCTAGTAGTCGAATCTTCTTCTTCTTCTTCTATGATTTTAACACAGCTAACCATGCAGGTCAACGTTTGTTGCAGCGCAAGTATATGTTTTTGCACCGTGTGTAATTACAATTAACACACGTACCATTTTTCCGAGCCGTCCCTTGATTGTAGAAGTCACTTGACAGAAAACAAAATTTGGATCCCGAAAGCAAAGAAACAATAAACCCTTTCGCAAATATTTTACATGGGACCGCTCGTGGGAGTTAGAAGAACCAATTGGAGTAAGCGTTGTTACTTCGAATCTCAATTTGGGCCAATAGCAGGGCGGCTTGTATGACAATCGCCCATCCCCCACCCGAAGACCATCGTGCCCATAGGTCAAGGCAGCCTTTGCGCACGGAACCAAGTAGGTGGGACTACTCGTCCGGTATGTACTAGTGATGTTCGATACCACCAATTTCCTTTCCGATCCGATACCGAGTAAAATTCGGGCTGGTATCGCCGATACCGATATCGATACCGATATTTTATCATTTGTCTTTTAAAT